CTTAACCGCCCTAGTTAGAGATGCCAATCAGGGGAAGCCGGCTCATCGTGTTGTTCGTTCCGTTCCATCATACAAAGTAAAAAAGCCTGTCCAGAAACCCCTCCTCCTCTGGAGAGACTGGCAGGACAAACTCGAGCGAGCAACCGAAGAGCCGCAGGAGTTCGACCTATTAGACTCTTCCCCGGCATCGTTTTGTGTTCATTTCAAATACCGCCCCTCTGACCCAGCCCCATATCCCCAGGTAATTCAGGTAAATAAGCAGTTCCAAGCTGCCAAGTGGTGCAACACCATCGTGCACGTCAAAATGCCCTCAACCCTTGATCCTTCCCCTCGAAAGCTACCTAAGGGTCTATTTTTAATTTGTGGGGATCGGGCATGGGCAGGCATCCCCTCCCGCCTTCTTGGAGGGCCGTGCACATTAGGCAGGTTGTCCTTGTTTTCCCCCAACATGACCCAAATTGACAATTGGTCCACAAAAAATAATTCGACTAGCAAGAAACGCAGCCTGGATGATTTAGATCCAGACTGCGATTCCGAAATTTTTCATTGGAGTAAGCTAAAACGGGTGGCAGTGTCAGTGTTTTTGCCTTGGGTAGCCGCTGCCAAAGCCCTGGATGAATTAGGATGTTTTGAGTGTTGGGTAGTAAAGCAAGCTAATTTAACATCAACCACGCTGAGCGACCTCCTCGAAGACGAGGAGACAACCAGGCGAGCCACCCTACAGAACCGTGCAGCCATCGATTTCCTGTTGCTTCTGCATGACCATGACTGCAGGGAGCTTGAAGGACTCTGTTGCATGAACCTTACCACCAAGAGCCCCAGCGTCCGCCAGATCATCGCGGAGATGCGAGGCATGATCCACCAAATCAAGCAAGAGTCCAATGACTGGGTCACCAACCTCTTTTCAGGATGGGGACTGTCCGGATGGCTTCTCTCAATTATTAAGACTGTGTTGTGGGTTGTTTTTGTTATTTTTATGATCTTAATCGTGTTTGTGGTGCTGCGAAGATGTCTAGTCCAATCCATTCTTCACCTTCTGTCTCCCCCACCACAAGTTAATAATGTTAATTTGAACCCACTTCCCTCCTCCTCACCTCCACCTTCTCTTGCTCCTGAATGGTTTGTTGTACCCTCTGCTCCCCCTGACCCTGCAACATCCTCTTTCTAAAAAAGGGGGAGATGTTGCATTCTGTTTGTTAATTCTGTTTGATTTGATGGTATGTTCCCGTTATCCCCCTGTTACTGTCAGATAGTGGTTTTGCCCAGTTGTCAATTTAGTAAACCCCTCCCATTGTTCCTGAATCTTCCCTGCTTATCACCCTCAGCCTGCCCCTAGCCCTTGTCATTGTTAATCCTGCCCTTTGTTCCAGCATTTTCCATGCCCTTCATCCCCTACTCGAGGCCCCATTGGTGTTGTCACCACCGTCCCACCCATGTTTTCCTCTCATTGGTCCCAAGTAAGGGTAAACCCCAAGGAGGTAAACCCCTCCTTCGTCTCCTCCCAGGTTGTGTCCTGATTGGTTTTTAGTTTGTACCCTCCCCACTTTAAATTTGGAAGCACGGACCTGTTCGGGGCTCAGTTGCTCTCCTTTCTTACCATCCCAGTCCTTTCCCTTGTCATTGCTCCCTTTACCCTTTAATAAAACCTGTTCCTGGGAAGACAAAGAGACTCTGAGCCTCCTCCATCCCTTTACTGAAACCCGCGACGCCTGGGATCTACAGAGCCCGAGTGCAGAGAGCTCTGGAGGTTCAGCACTGGGACTGTCGTTCCTGTGTCGTTCCCCACTCTTGGCGCTGCCATTAGCCAAGTTGTCCAGGGCTAGCCTGAGGCTTGGAAAAGTGTAGAGCGCAGCGTCATCCAGGGACAAAGAACTGAGAACAAAGGAAGGACCAGGGTTATATACAGACTACGAAGGGCGGAGCATCAGAATTTAGGGCCAATGGGTTGAGAACACAGGGGTGGTGCAAAGGCAGGGTCAAAGGATAACAACCAACCAGGGTTCAAGGGTGGAGTGACAGGGAATGGGGACATATAGGGAAGACAGGAGCAGTGAACATCCTGGAACTGAGGTGCAGGATAGGGATGACATAACTCTGGGTTGGGTACATAACAGGGATGATGTAACTGGGGTGCATAAAACAACAAGGGACTGTGGGAGAACATTCTTTAAAAAGGGTTCACATCCCAGGGCATCCTACTAACAGATTCTCCCACCAGCTCCTGGCATGCAACATCCTGGAGGACAAATGAGGAAAAAAAAATCCCCGTGTTGTGACCTGTGGAGTTTGTGGTCCCTTTAGTGTGCTGAAGAAAACTGCCTTAGATTTGAGAAGGGAATGGAAAGGATTCAGTCAGAGGCGTCGCCAGTCCAAAGCTGGCTCATTGAGCTCTAGCTCCAGAATTCTGCAAGAGGGACTGATGTCCAGTTCTGGAAGTCCTCCAAAGGTCAGTGTTGTGTGGGTCACAGTGCATAGTGCAGCCTACAACAGCCTTTACAGCAATTCAGAAGAGACTTTGTATTCTGGTGGGACTTTGAATGAGTGGATCATGGAGAATCAGGGAAAAACCTTATAAGTGGCTGGAAAAACCAAAGAAAAAAGTGAATTCCAGAGCTGGAAGCATGTGGAGGAGAATCGGCAATTGAGAGAGATGGGAACAACTGAGTGGTGATCAGAATCCAAATTTATTGTGGGCTGCATATGCTTATATACCATTCTAGGAAGATAGTAATTTCTTACTACAGTGATTGGATTAAACATCATGCAAACATTTTTGCAACATATCTTTTACTTGATTCAATCTTTTTCCCTGTTTCCAGTCTAATCCAATCTCCTTGCATTCTTCAAAGCTCTGTTGGCTCTTGTCAAGGCATGCTGATTATCAAATTTCTTATGCTAATCAGCTCCAAAGTACTTTCTATCTTTGCAGTAGAGGAAGAGATATCTTGTTATATATATATATATATATATATATATATGATTTCAAAATCTGCCTGAGGATTTTTTGCTTCCCAGATAAAACTTACTAAGCTCCTGCTTGTGGATGAAGTGTCTGTCAGACAAACACATAATTAAATAACAGCATCTCTCTCCTCTTAAACCTTTCTGATATTCCTGGACTGTTATTTATTTGGGTTCTTCTTGCTGACTGACCCAACAGGTAGCAAAGTTGAAATCCAAAAAATAAAAAGTAGTTTCTCTCATCTCATCTTATTTGCATATCAGTTAGATCTTCATCGTCTTTCTTAAGGCCGCATTAGAGAACAGAATGGCAAGGCAGGCCCCGCATCACAATGGCCTCTGCTTGTGGCCATCACATCACTGACACTGTAACACACAGCCATGGTCACACTCGGCCACTGTGACGCAGGGCTGCATCTCTCCAGGGTGACAGTGACAGGTCTGCAGCAGAGGACATCATAGGCTAGCATGGAGGAGTTGCTGGCAGCAGAGCTGGACCAGGCAGGCTGTGTGTCTATATCAGCTTCCCAAAGCAGGGGTGCAGATGCAGGGGCAAGCCACCAGCAAGAAGCAGAACAGCAGGAGCAAGCAGAGCTGTCTGTGCTCATTGAGTGCTACCAAAGCTCTTTGTGGCTGTGGGGGCAAAAGAAGCATGGCCCTGTTTTGAAGGAGGTCATCGTGTCCTTCAGGAGGAGGCCTTTAGAGGAACCAAACAGGACCTTCCAAGTCCACAGCTTGTCACAGCAGCCCAGTGGCCTGCAGGACAGAGAACAACAGAACCAAGGACAGGGTTCCTTGCTGAGGCCAGGCCCCAAGGCTTTTGGTGACACATGTGGGCAGGTGAGTGCCAATGACAGATTGGGACAGCCTGAGATTGGACAGGACAGGACCACAGGCCTGCCATGGGGATTCAGCTACACCACACCACAACAGCCACAGGTGACACGTAGTAGGTTCACTGAGGATACCATAAACTATCAGGTGCTACTGGAGCAGGTGGGAGTCCAAGCTGCAAGTGGTGAGCCAGTGGGCTGGGCCAAGGAGCAGGAGTGTGAAGATGTCCTTGGTCCAGAGCTGTCTGAGGGAGAGGAGTGGGAAGATGCCCTTGATGTTGAGGTGTCCAACAAAGAGGAATGGGAAGACACAGCAGGCGCAGAGCTGTGCCAAGGGACAGATGACATTGGCTCATCTCCTGTCCATGACCTCGTCCATTCCTTGGGCCTGCAGGACAACAAGGGCTCCCCCTCTGGTCCCACGGAGGGTCCCAGCTGCCCCACAGATGAGGGAACAAGAACAAGTGGCAGACTGGAAGGATCTCAGGACAAGGAATTTCCCTTGAATGAAGACCATGGAGGAGAAGGTAGCACAGCCATTGTCACCCCAGCAGCTCATGAAGAGCCCTCTTGGGTTGGGGATCAGGCAGCAGCTGGCCCAGATCCAGACCAGGCCCACATCATCCCTTTCTCTGCCTTCCTGGAGGCCCTGGCTGAAGGGAGCCAGATGTGCCGCAGGAAGGTTCTGAGCATTCTAGAAAAGGTCTTAATTGCTGCACAAGACAAAGGAGAGCAAAAGAAGCAGCACCCAACAGGTGGCAAAGACGTTTTGACAAATCCAGCCCAGTCCATCAGGGCTGAGCACCTGGGCAGAGTGCAGCCTGTGAAACAGGGTCCTGGCCAGCAGCTGGTAGAACCAAAGCCAGACCTGGAACTGAACATGAAGGAAGCAGCAGAAACAGGAACACCTGCAGAACCTGCCTTCAGATCTCCTTCGCCCACAGTCATTGATGTCCTGGCTCAAGAGAGACGGACGTCCATCTTCAAGAGTGCCCCAAGGGCTCTGCCCAGGGCCTCCACTGCAATGCACAGCAGAGGAAAGCAGGAACAGCAGCAGCCCACACCTTGTGCACAGGAACTGATGGACACAGCCCAATATATCAGCAGTGAGGTCCTGAGCAAGTCTAGAACTGTGATCCAGGGACTCAAGCAGAAGGAAGAGCAAGACTACTGGGAACACAGCACAGATGCAACACTGGCAGTAAGAGCCAGAGCAGCAGGGGCAGTGAGCCCTGCACATGCCCCGCACAATCCCACAGCTGATGTCCTGGCTCTCCTGGACACAGCCCCGTACACAACAGATGAGATCCTAAGCAGAGCTATGATTGTGATCCACAAATCTGAGGAGTACACGGAAGAACAGAGGGACTGGGAACAAGGCACTGGTGAGGGAATGACGGCAATAGCCCCAGAAGGATGGGCAGAGAGCCCAGGACATACCATTCACAGTCACACAGCTGATGCTCCAGTATTCCTGGACCACAATGACTACCTTCGGACAGAGGTGGTTAAGAAGGCCGTGCTTATGGTCCAGAAACCATCTGAATACTCAGAGGAGGAGCAGGACCGGGAACTAATTGCAGACAGATTAAAAATGGTACAAAGACCCTCAGGTCATGTCCAAAGCATTCCAGCACCTGCAGTCATCAACACCCAGGCTCGACAGAGGTGGCTGAGGCTTGTCCACAAAGCAATGAGAGCTCTGCCCTTAGCCTCCACAGCCACCTCTGCCACAGGGAAGGAGAAGAAGCAGCTAACAGCTGATGGCATGGATCTGCTGGACACAGCAGAGTGTATCAGGAGAGATGTCCCAGACAAGGCTACACTTGAAATCCAGAGACCTGGCCAACAAATTGTGGAACAGCAGGACATGAAACCCAGAAGGGATGTGTCACCAACAGTAACAGCTACTGCAGCAGGGAAAAAGAGCCACGTACATGAGACATGTAGTCCCACAGCTGATGGGCTGGTCTTCTTGAATGCAGCTGACTGCATACATACTGAAGTTGTTAAGAAGGCCTTGCGTGTGACCCAGAGACACTTGGAAGAGACGGAAGAACCATGGGAGCAGGAACAAGGTGTAGATGAAGAGATGGGAGCAAAAGCCAGAACAGTAGAGGCAGGGGGGCAGACACATTTCCCGCACAGCCCCAGAGCTGATGACCAGGTTCTCCTGGACACAGCCCAGCACATCCCAGCCCCAGGAGAAGGGACAGAGAGCCCAGGACATACCTTGCACAGTTGCCCAGCTGGTCCTCCAGTATTCCTGGACTATAACGACTATCTCCGGACAGAGGCGGTTAAGAAGGCCGTGCTTATGGTCCAGAAACCATTCGAATACCCAGAGGAGGAGCAGGACCAGGAACTAACTGCAGAGAGATCAAAAACAGCAAAAAACCTTTGGAACGTGCCTAAAGCATTCCAGTACCTACAGTCATCAACACCTGGGCTCGACACAGATGGCTGAGTTTCAGGATAAATAACGAAGGATGGGACTATGGATGTTATTAAGATGATCTATTGCTCAAATAAATCACATGAGGCATCAGTCTCATGGTGTGAGATTTTAGAGGAGTAGCAAGTCAGCCATAGCTCAAAGGTAGTATTGAGTTTCTTTGTTACATAGCAATATATAATATTCTGGTCCAATGGACAGCTGACATAGAGATTATTTTGACTTTATCACCTATCACATTTGCTAAGTTCTGCCACATTGTGTCTACCTTTCACCTAATAGTCTGCTAGCTCATGTACACACCTATGCTTCTATTATAAAATCTAGATTCATCATTTGTTCAATAATATCACACTATTACAGCTTAAAACCTTCCACTATCTTACTCAATACAGTTTTTTACTTAAGGTATATTTTAACTTGCAACTATAGGAATGTAAATTCTGATTTCTCTGCTTATAGTCTGTGTACCTTTGTCATCCCATTAACCCAAGTTTCTTCCAAGGCTGTAAATCAAACCCTTCAGTGGCAGTGGAAGTTTCTATTTTTCTATTTCCACATATCCCCTCCCTCTCTACACTAAAAGAAATCCATGAATAGATTTATCAGTCATCTGTTGCATACATAGAAGCAAACAAGGCAACATTATAAGCATTGTAACTACCAAAATTATAGTCCCATTGTAAGGCACTTTTTTATCCATGGTGTTAAATCCAACCCACTAAACGAATCATCCAAGTTCCATCATCAACTCTTATTTTTGACACCCCTTCTCTGAGCTGTTGTATACTTTTATGAGTAGACTCTGAGTGATCGGACAGATTCATACAACATGTTCCTTCAAAGTTTTCACATCCATGTCCATGAGCTAATAAAAGGAAGTCTATTGCTTCCGTATTTGCAAGATTGCGGACATAACATCCTTGACATCTGCTAAGAAGCATCTTAATGCAAGGGATGTAGCATTAGATTGTTTACTCAGCCAACATCCCAACTATCTAACTATTTTAATGCTACTGCTGAAACAAGCGGTGGTAAAAAAAGAGATGCTGCAAACCTTTTTCCAAAACCCCAAGGATCAAAATTGTCTTTACACTCTGGTCCATGTCACACTGTATTAGGAATGGTGAAGTAACGACATGGACTCTCTAGTCTTAGTTGCAAAAGAGAGCCCTTTTTATTCCTCCAGATCTTCCTTTATAGGCAGTTTCAAAAAGGTCCAAAAAGGTAAACCTCTCATTGGTCGTCAAACCAACACATCACCATCATTGGACATTTAGGAACTACACTCCTTGAGCGTTTCTTACAAGTAAACAACAAGGAACAAACAACACCTGCAAAGGTTGTTTTCCTTCTCTAAGGACTGTTTGGATGCTTCCTTATGATTTCCCAGGCCAGACTTTTTCAGGCCAGTGTGAGAAAGTTATGCGACTTAGTTCCACACAGGCACTATGCTACCTCCCTGATTTCTTGCATTCAGCATGCATAGGTTCATATTAATGAATAAATGACCTTTTTCCTCTGTGTCTCATGTTGGCAATTGTCTTCATATTAGGAGTTAACAATGTAAGCTTCCCTAAACTACAAGGCTCACCTTTGATGTTTGATGGAATAGCAGACCATACTCTGTCTCCACAAACAAAAAATATCCTTTGTGGTAATTGAAGAGGAACAGAGTTAAATGGAACTACATAAGTATCATTACACCAATAGGTCTGATTCATATATACAGGGTGATCTGGAGAAACATTTCTCACTACTGATTGATTTTTCCCTGTATAATTGAACTGGTCACAAAATTTTACCCTTACAGAACCAAGGAGTTCTTATTCCTGGGGTTCAATGGATGCCCTAGGAAGTGTGCCATTCCCATGTATTTACTAGAGTCCAAAAATCCCACACATTTGAGCCAGTGAAAGTGCCTCACATAACTTTGTATTGGCCAAGTTTCGACTGGTACACTGACTGAACAACCTGGAAATTGATTTTCCGGAGTTGTAGTTGATAAGCATAGGGTATGTAAACCTGAAACATTAGCTAAAGTTACCCAGACATTGGTTCTAGGCTGGCTAACTGGCAAACTACACTACTAAAAGCAAGCAAAGCAAACAAAGCAAACAAAGCAAAATATAAACTTAATATTTGATTGAACTGCATATTTCTCTAAAGTTATCTTTTGGCAAAAGTTTCTTTTCTCAAAATTTAATTTTCAAGCAAATTTTTAAGCATATTATTTTTTGGTTTTTTCTACAAAAAGTTAATCACTGCAATTTTTTGTAAAATTCAAGTATGTTACACAAACGATACCATGCTTTTGCCAAAAGACCTTTACAATATTCCTGTTTTTTACACTCTCTACATTGATATGAAACCCAAAGTTTACAGCTTTTGCGATGAGGACAAGAGATTTCAGATATGAATTATAGTCTCTGTGTAGTTCATATCTGTGTGCTTTCTTCTTTGCTTGTGGGGTCATCAGTGTGTTTTTGCACGTGGTATGGATTCACATTCTTTGCAGAAATCCATCTGGGTCCTATACCTGTAGAAACACAAGCAAACCCTTTGCCCCTGGTTATCAGAGGAAATGGATCTTCAGTTTGTCCTGTTTCTGGATTTCTAATTAGAATGGGAGGACTTTCTTTTAATTTTGCATGTGTACTATTAGAAAAATGCCTAAATATTGGAGGATCAGGTTCTGCAAAGGAACTGTTAAAAAAATTATAGACATATAAAGCTTTACTTAATCACATCTGTGGTGTCGCCTGTGCTACATTTCCCTTTTTGCTCATCTAAAACATGTCTTCCTTTCAATAAGTGCCTGATATGTGGGAGAATAGGGAATACTGCAAGTATGGTGAACACCCCAATTCATTAAAAATGTGGCCAATTTTTGAGCTGTATATGCAGGGCTGTTATCTGTCTTTATTTTTTGAGGTACTCCTAGTGAAGCAAATGCTTGCAAAAAATGCTGACATTCATGGCTTGCTATTTCTCCTCTGTGTACAGAAGCAAAAACTGCATTTGGAGATGTTTCCACTGATAGATGAATATTTTTGTATTTCCCAAAAGATGGGTATTTGGTAATATCTGTTTCCATAACTGCAAGCTCTGCAACTCCTGTGGACTGACTGCTCATGTGGAAATAGGAAGTTGTACCAGCTGGTAGTTTGGGCACATATTTATGATTGCTTTAGCCTGATCTCTAGAGAGATGAAACATTTGCATGAGAACTTGTGCATTTTGATGAAAAAAGGCATGGCTCAGTTTTCGCCTATTTAAAAATATTCAGTGGGATGCTTGCAATAGCTATTGTCAGCTTGTCTGCCCTAGACTTGCCTTCTGTCAGAAATCCTGAAGTGATGAGTGGACCCTAATACGGGAAACAAAATATTGACCAGTTCTACTTTGCATAATTGCATAAAGACATGTAAGATAATGACACAAATTATCATTACTAACATTTTTAAAGCTGATTCTTTTATTATTTTAACTATGCTAGCAACATTAGCCAAATCTGTAATCCAATTAAAAGGTTCTTGGAAAAGCTTGAAATGCTCTATCTACAGCTGCAAGTTCCACAACTTGCATTGAACCACTGTTTGAATATCTGATTCCCACACTTTAGTTATTGGATCTTGGGATACTATCACTGAATTGTGTGTTTTTCCTGACCCATCAGTAAGTAGTGTCATAGCATTTAAAGGCACTTCTCTTAGCATGGGTTTTTCTCTAACTCTTAACTTTGGCTGTAACAGCTTGTGGCTAGGAAAATGAATAGAGCAAGTGACTGGATAATTTAACAATGCGATTTGTAGATCCTCTGACTTTTGCAATGCCCAATCAAAATATTACTTCTTTAAAGACAAATAAATTATTGCAAAATCTTGGCAAGCTATAGTCAGCAATCTTGTTCTAGCCTTGATTATAATTTGAGCCATCATTTCTATTGTTGTGAAGATTGTTTTTGGAGACCTGTAAGAAATACCCATTCTATTATTAGCAAAGGATCTTTTGCAGAGGTATCCCGTTGAAGTATGAGACCATACAACTGCATCTTTTCTCCTAGCACTGCAAGAAAGGTTGTGACACTATGCAACAGTGTGCTTGTTTTTGTTGGAATGTTTCAGCTACTCTATCAAGAGCCTTTTGAGCTTATGGTGTTAGAATTCTTGGACTTGGAATGTCACAGTCTCCTCTCAACAAATCAAAAAGTGGGGAAAGTTCATCATTCATAAGCCCTAAAACAGGCCTAACTCAATTGATCTCTCTTAAGAGTTGTTTCAAATCTTGTAAGGTACTAACTTTGAATCAAAGTTCTATTTTCTGTGGCACTATTGCTTGGTCTGTCATTCTCCATTCCTAAATATTTCCATGGAGGGGTTTCTTGAATTCTTGATGTAGAGATTTCAAGTCAAGCATTTTGAATCTCTGTAACAACACTATCAGAAGCTTCTTCCATCTCCTTTTGTGTTGGTGTTGAAATTAATAGGTCATCCATGTAGTGTAGAATCTTTGCTCGAGATTGTTTCTGTCTACCTGGTGATAAGGCTTTTGCCACAAAATACTGACATATGGTAAGTGAATTTTTCATTCCCTGAGGAAGTACAACCCAGTATCAGCAGTTAGTTAGTTAGTGAGTCTTAGCAGTGGTCCTTGCCTCTTGATACTTGTGACAGAAGATGCAAAATGTGGGGTATCACCTGAATGAAGCAGAATATTGAAAAAACAGTCTTTTAAATTGATGATGATTAGAGGTCAGTCTCTTGGGATCATTGAGAGAGGAGGTCCAAGCTGAAAAGGTCCCATATCCTAAATCACCTCATTAATTTTTTTGAGATCATGAAGTAGTCTCAGAGGCTTTTTTGTGTATGACAAACACTGGCTAATTCCAGGGACTGGTTTCTCCTTGATGTGACCTTTCTGCTGTTGCTTGTTCATGGATTTTCTGAGAGCATGCAATTTCTTTCTTTACAGGGGCCACTGGTCCACCCAAGGAAGATCATTGGTTTTCCACTGTGGTAGTGCATATTTCTGGGAGTTACCTAGTTTCTGTGTAAACCCTCCCTGCAGCTGTGACGTGTTTTTCCCCTCCCCTCCCTGTCCCTGGAATGTTATCCCATTGGTTGGTGTTATATGTCTCCCCGCCCCTCTCCCGAGGTTTGAAAGAGTCCAGGATAGAGATCCTGGTCTCTTCTCCCCCTGGAAGCCAGCCAAAATAAACATCCTCCGTTATCCCGGAGGGAGAAGCAGCCCTTTTTGGTCTTTTCCTTGGTCGTGAAGAATCTCCCTGACCCCCCCATTGACGGAGCTAGCCAGGATTACTTTGGGGAGCGAAGGGAAGGTTACTTCAGGTGGCGCCCATCACAGGGGCTTTAGAACCCCTTGGGACGGCTGGAAAACACCCCACTGGTGTTTTAACAAGCCTGGGGAACGTCACCTACCCCGCAGTCTTTACTGACGGGGATCGGGTTGGTAGCTCAGTGAGAACACGAGTCAACTCAGACTGAGAACTCTTTTTTCTCTTCGAACACCACGTGTCCTTCAGGAAACAGGTACTGGGGGAGGCGCGGGGCGTGCGGGAGATCCGGCGGTGGTTGTGGGGTTTAGCGAGGCACGGTGGTGTGGTGTGGTGCCGGTGCCAGACAAGTCCCCCGCCGGTATCGGGACCGGGGGAGCCCATGTGGCACTAAACGTGGTGTGTGGGGGGTGGTGGACCAGTGGTGCGTCCCGTGCTCTGCGGTGGTTTTTAAACCCTGACCGCAGTTTGGATCTTTTCTGCTTTTTTCGGTGGTAAAAAAAGTCTGTGTAGGAAAGCCTTATTACCACCCATGGGTTCTCATTTTTCTACACAGGAAAGGAATAAATATTCCCATATTAAGAATATTTTAAAGGCTGGAAATATCAATTTCTCAAAAAATAAGCTGAGGAAATTCATAAAACGGGTTTTTTTGCATTTTCTGGATTTGAATGTTGATTCCCCGCCTGACTGGGAAAAGGTTGGACAGGCACTCACTATGCAAGTTGAACTGGGGGATAACACGGCTGGAAAATGCATCCCACTGTTCCTTTTAATTCGGAAAGCAGTTTTACAAAAACACGAAAAAAGGCTACAAGAACCTTTGGCTCCCTCTCCTCTCCCCTTTCCCTCAGCTCCCCAGTCAGAGGGTGCATCTGAGGCATATTCTGTGAGAGTTCCAGATGCTTATCTCTCAGGGCTCAGACAATCCCCTGACTGTACTGGCCCCGTCTGCCATGTACAGGCAGACAAAAACTCCCTCCCATACCCTTTCCTCCCCGCAGAAAACCCTAAAAAGCATAGCTTAAAATCCTCCCACCAAGGAGGAGGGAGCTCAGCTGAACTTACTCAAAAACATGTGCCAAGCAATAATGGTGCTGACCACCCGCTGTCCTTCCCCCTGCCCACCCCTCCCATAACCCCTTCCTCCCACAACCCCTTCCTCCCACAGGTC